CATTTGCAGCTGTCAGTGAGCGGCATCTTTCATATCCAATGCGGGGATATCACCCATCGAAGCAGACTTAAAAAAATTTGGAATCGAAGCCCCAAAGTCAGGAATAGCATTCATGACTAAAATCGTTTGATCTATATAGGATTAAACAAAATGAGTTCCGGTTTTTCACATCCACAGCCTACATTTCAATCATCCATTTATAATCCTTCATTCTATCTTTCGTTAGACTCGAGTGGTTATCTAACATACGATTATGCGCAGACACTATATTTGAGCAAGGATGATTACAGGATGGGCTACCTTAGCGGAGTAATAGCGGGAACTGCTTCGTACAGCAAAACTTTGATTCTCGATTCGTCCGGCAATATCAGCGGAATTAATAGCTTTGGAGCTTTTACTATTACTGGAACGCTACAAACCGGATCCTAACCAGATATAACGTCTCTCGGCTCTTAATCAGGTCTTACGATCGGTGGAAATTTATCGTTCAGTGGGTCATCGCACTCGATATCGATAACAGGCACTTCAAGCTACATCGATTGTCGAGAATATCGCCAGAACGGGACTATATACGATTTGGGCCTTTTTGAATACATAAACGGAGTTAGTTTTGGTACCGCAACCCACAATAAACTCCTATTATGCGACTCAAGCTCGAATATCGGAGGCCTAAGTTCGGTAGCGGCTACTACTCTGACCTGCACGAACTTGCGCCAGGACTCGACGTATTATGACCTATCAAGCTTTTTAACATCTATTCCGACTTCCCTCTCGCTCAATAATCTGTCAACGAGTGGAAATATCAGCTGCTTCGGCGTTATCAATGGGTTTTTAGCGTATGGAAACCAATCAGCTATAACAACAGTAGGATCGCTGACAGAGCTTGGGATCAACTCTACAGCAACGAATGAATATTCTCGATTACTGGTAGTGGATTGGACTTTCTTGATGGTTCTTACACACGAATGATGACTCTAACCGGGTCGAATACGACTCCTGTTCAATTCCAGATCCAAGTCCATAATGGCAATCGATCAACCACAGCGAACGCGTCATGGATCGGGAACATCACAAACAACGACCTCAAATTTGGGGTCAATAACTCGACGTCGATGATTCTAACTACCACAGGTCGTCTTGGTCTTGGTACTACAAGTCCTTCGGCTCCGCTGCACGTCCCTGGCAGCAACAGTTTTGTATTTGGAGCAGGCGGAACGACAGTGTATCGCCTCAGAACAGATAGTGGAGCTACAGAATCCGCTTTTGGCCCGAACACATATTCAGTAGCGGGTATATTCGGAGGATACATTGCCTGTACAGCCATGGCGATGACGTCGGATCGACGCCTTAAAAAGAATATTCAATCATGCCCAATTGATCGTGTGAAGCGGCTCTACGATAGCTGTGAGGTCAAGCTCTATGACTGGATCGAGTCGGAAAACAAGCCTGGACAAGAAATCGGTCTCATAGCTCAGGATTTGGTCTCAGCCCATCTAACTGATTTGATATGGATCTTTAACAGAGATGATATTGAAGGGGGAGAAGACCCAAGCCTTGAACCAGCTAAGCAACAGCTCAACGTTGATTACAGTCGAATATCGGCTTATAATATGAAGATGATTCAGCATCTTTTGGGTGAGATAGATAGATTAAAAGATCGTTTGGCTAATATAGAGTCATGAGGATTGAGCGCTTGGAGTTAAGCCCTTTGAAGAACAAGAAGTATCGAGTATGGGTACGTCTTAATACGGGAAAGTTGCGCAAGGTTAATTTCGGGACTCGTGGATACGCCCAATATCGGGATCAAACGCCTCTGAAGGCTTTTAGTCATCTTGATCATAATGATGAGGAGAGACGTCATTGATACTACCTTAGACACAAAGTTGATTACCCAGAACCATCAGCGGATTTCTATGCTAAGAAGTTTCTTTGGTAATAATATACAAGAAATGGGTTGCGTACCAAGCAAAGATCTTAAATCGAATTTAACTGCTGATGAACCTACTCAGGCAATTGCTTCCACATTCATGCGCGCTGATCAGATCGTAGCTCTCGGAGATAGTGCACTCGTTCCTATCAGAGATGCGAAGACGGGGGAAGATGCTGTCATGGAAATACATGTTGGAGAGAAAAAAATTAGTATATATCGCGGAATGGCGAATAAAGCTGTTAGATCTGGTATTGCTTAGATAGCAAACGTCTTTACAGACTTCGATTTTTTTTAGTTGAGTATGCCCATACTTTTCCTCCTTCCGTCTGGGTTGACGCATCCGTTTTCTTGAGCGTCTTGTCAAGATCCGTTGTTCAAACAGCTGCCTGGGTCTTTTAAGGGCGGTCATGGATGATTAAATTTTTCATGATGGCTTTTAGCTCTGCGACGTTGAAATCAGCGTTGTCGCCATATCTACCGCCTGAGCTGGAAATAATTCGGGGATTGAAAAAGAACATGGTTATTGTAGTCGCGTGATAATTTCCTTAAACTCAGAATCCGAAATTAGACGGTGCTGTACATATCCACTGAGAGACTCTTAAGCTGTTTGATAATTGAAGGATTATCATTGCCTATTCAAGGCTCTCTTTCAGCTTGTCATATTCAGCTCTTAA